AGATAGTGTGTGTGTGTGTGTGTGTGTGTGTGTGTGTGTGTGTGTGTGTGTGTGTGTGTGTGTGTGTGTGTGTGTGCGTGTGTGTATATTTGTGTGTGAGGTGGGACTATTCAGAGGTCGGAGTAAGCCAAGTGGAATCCAATGAAAACCATTTAGCCCAGACCCTCAGCCTACAGCGTGAAGAGTCCCAGTGATTTGGGCAGAGAGAGACAGGGTACATCGATCAGAGCAAGGGGGGGCCACCCTATCCATGAGAAATCACTACCATTAAAGAAGTTGATTGGACTAATTAAAAAGCGTTGAGCACCCACTGATTCCCCCCATTAACTCACGATCCTGCAAAATGAATAGTTGTGGCCCAGAGACCCTCCTTACGCTGATAGTCATTGATTTGAAGAGGAGGTACCTGTGTGTGTTTGTGTGTTTGTGTGTTCTCCCTCTGGCTGCACGAGATGTTTCTGCGCTTCATGTCTGAAGAGCCTTATGTCACAAGTCGTCCCCAGGCGCTGCCGTACACCTATGAAACCCTGCAGCCATCAATCCTGCTGCAAAGAGTAAAGAGGCAAAGTGATGCCAATGTAGTTAGCAAGATTGAATGGCGCTGGGAACGTGGGAAGGCGAACCCGAACACCTCCACATTTCTATTTCAGGGGAAGAATTTAGAATGACCCACCGATTTAGAGCGAAATAGCTTAACTCTCAAGTGGAGTGGCTTTTTTAATTGATGCTCTCTACAACCATAGATTGTGTGGTTAGATAACAGGCACTACAAAGACCAGGCAGAAAGAGAGCGAGGAAAGAGTATACCTTTCTCTCACTATATAAAGCTGCCCTTTACACCTCGCCCACAGTAAGCAGATCAATGGTAGGAGCAGCACAAGCCACCATTGACCCTCTTTCTGATTGCTCATCTTCTCTAAGAACTCCTGTAACAACAGCAATTGATGCTCTTTTGTCCAGCATGGACCAACTATATTGGCTTTAGTCCCCCCCGGTGACAATATATGAAATGGGTCGTTCTACCCTCCAATTTCCAGTCTAATAGGACACAGGCTTATCATCTTATGACACAGGCTTTGGCTTGCAGGAAAACCTCCATCAGAGCAGAGCTATTTATTTGCTCTGGCCTTTGAGGATTTGAGAGCAGCTCTCTTAATAAGATCCCAACTACCCACGTCTCTTGAAATTCAAAACGTTGACTGCAGATGTTATTAAGGCAAAACCACAGCAGTAGCATCCAAAGTGGAGCATTTTAACTTCTGAGTACTACAATAAACCTCAGTATGTTCTGTCTTGGAATGATTTGCTT